GCCTCAAGCAATTCTCCCATTTGGCCTCCCAAAAGGTTGGGATTACAAGTGTGAGCCACTGTGGCCAGCCTGTTTATTTTTAATTTAGGTGAAACAACATAGTATAAAACCATTTTAAAGTGAACAATTCAGTGGCATTTAGTATCTTCACAGCCCCCACTTCCACCACTTCTATCCAGTTCCAAAACATTGTCACCTCAAAATAAAACTCCATATCTGTTAAGAAGTTACTCCCCATTCCCTTCTTCCCCTGTCCCTGGCAATCACTAACGTGCTTTCTGTCTCTGTGGATTCATTTATTCTGGACACTTCGTATGAATGGAATCCTCCATGGCCTTTGCATCTGCCATCTTTCACTTAGCACCATGTTTTCAAGGTTCAGCCATGTTGTAGCATGGATCAATACTTCATTGTTTTGTCTGGTAGCAATAATCTTTTACAAGCAGGGTTAGATCATGTCCCTCCACTACATCACCCAGCGGCTTTGCCTCAGCCTCCCCTGAGAATACAGCCTCCTCTTGCTGGCACTCCCTCTGTGACACAGCCTTTCCCTGGGACCTTGTTGGGGACCACTTCCCTCCTGGCCCCTCCCTTCTAGCCACACTGGCTCAATTTCTGTCCTTTAATTTTTTTCTATTTCTTTTTTTGAGACAGTCTCCCTCTGTCACCCAGGCTAGCCTGTGGTGGTGTGATCACAGATCACTGCAACCTCCACCTCCTGGGTTCAAGTGATTCTCCTGCCTCAGCCTCCCGAGTAGCTGGGATTACAGTTGTGCACCACCATGCCCAGCTAATATTTGTATTTTTAGTAGAGATGGGGTTTTGCCATATTGGGAGCCAGGCCGGTCTCAAACTCCTGGCCTCAAATGATCTGCCTGCCTCAGCCTCCCAAAGTGCTGTGATTACCAGTGTGAGTCATCACACCGGGCCGATTTCTGTCCTTTAAATAGCACAAGCTTGTTCCTACCACAGGGCCTTTGCACCTGCTGCTTTGTCTGCCTAGGATGTCCTGGAACCAGGCTGCTGGCTTCAAATTCAGGCTCTGCCACACATTAGCTCTATCACCTTGGGCAAGTGAAATAGCATGTCTGAGCCTCAGTTTCCTCACCTGTGAAATGGAAAAAAGGGAACCTCCTTGTGCAGGTTCAGTAGGTGAGGCATGTAAAGCACCTGCCACAGTGATGCAGAGGGTGCTCGGTGCTGTTGATTGTTCGTATTATTCCATCAAACAATGACGAATTGAATCTTTTCTAGAAGAAATATAAAGTGGAAACAGAAATCGAGAACTGGATCCAGAAATATGATACAGAGATGGGTGAGAAGCAGGTATTTGTCACTGAATAAGTCTCTCTCGCATGCTTTTTCCAAGACCCTCTAGGGATGGGAGGAATGGGAGGAGCAGCCTTGGAATGGTCCACGGAGGGGGCAAACTTCTGAGCGTCTCTGGGGAGAGTACCTCCCTTTGTTTAAAGGGTTTGTCCAGCCTGGGGCAGAGCAAGAGGTGGGAAAGAAAAGAGCCAGAAGCTGCAAGGCCAGGTGTAGTGGCTCACACCTGTAATCCTAGCACATTGGGAGGCCGAGGTCAGAAGTTCGCTTGAGCTGAGGAGTTCAAGACCAGCCTGGGCAACAGAGCAAGACCCCGTCTCTATTAAAAAAAAAAAAAAAAAAAAAAAAAAAGAAAGTGATTGGCTAGGAGAAAGCCCTGACACTGGGCCTAATGATTGTGGCTCCATCTAGTTTCCACGTCCCATAGTCCTCTGGCTGGGCTCCGCCCAGTCTGGGCCTCCTCCCTGCAGGCTTAGATGGGAGCCTGCCTCCACCGCGTCAGTCACTCAGCCAGTTTTTATTGAGCATCTGAGATATGCCAGCTGTGTGGCCTTAAGCAAGGGACTTGACCTTCTCGAGCTGTTTCTGCATCTGATCAGCAGAGGCAATAGTTCCCATCTTGGGACCATGGTGGGGATTCAGTGAGACTTCATGGCTGCAAGTGTGTGTGCCCCGTACAGGGTCTGACCGGCCTGGAGGAAGTGCCCAGGGGGTGGTAACCTTCAAATCGAGACACCCCCAAGCCCTTCACCCAGCCATGGGATAACATTGGTGGCCCATGGCTCCGACCTAGGGGCCAGGGAGGCCGGGGGAGCACTGGAGGTAACATGAGCTGGAGTGAGCCAAAGCCAGGTGTGCTCTTAAGAAAAGGGCAAGTCAGAGACTTGTCCTGTGCAACAATCAGGGCCCGGAGAGGGCAGCTTCGTAGGCTGGGGCTCTCATTTCTCTGGGCCCCATGAGGCTTGTGGGTTGGTTGCAGGCAGGGACCTTGTCCATCCAGCTCTGTGTCCTCTGGTGGTACTCTGCTTATTGTAGATGCTGGGAAAACATCAGTGGAAGGAAGGAAAACAGGTGTAAATGACAGCAGGAGAGGCTGCAGTTAGACATGAGGAAGAACTCCGGGGCTCTCTTTGAAGCCTGAGAAAGCTCCTTCTACTTTGGTGTTTTGTATAACAGGCTGCTTTAGGGCAGCAGCTTCCATTTCTTGTGTCCCCACTGTGTGCCTGGCACGATGTCCAGTACATTGTGTCCATTGGGTCATTTCATCCTAGAAACAGCCCTTGGGTTTGGAATCGTCCCCATGTTTCAGATGAGGAAAAAAGGTGAAGTCAGTTGAGGTGTGGCAAAGCTGGGACTTAAAACAGTCTGCCCAACTCACGAGCCCGTGTTCTTTTCCTGTTCCTGAAATTATTTTAGTCAGGTCCTTCCTAGAGGTAGGATGGAGCCCATCCCCTCTCCCCATCCATCTCATTGGGACCGAGATGCTGAACAGCTTAGCTTAGGGGCATCGCTGGGGCAGAAGCCCATTTGGGAAGGGTGGGAGGGTCTTGGGGAGGAGGGTGGTGACCCCAGTCCCACCCCTCTTCGAAGGAGGAGTTCGAGGATCTGGAAGCTGTTCACAGGGAGGAGAAGATCACGCTGGAGGAGCTGAAGCGGAAGCACCAAGTGCTGGTGGAGGAGTTTGTGCAGATCCGGGAAGAGCAGGAGATCAACTCCAAGAAAAGGATGGAGGCAGAGCAGGAGATGGTGCACATGGTGCGGGCGGCCACACTTATCCAGGCCGTATGGAAGGGCTACTTGGTGCGCTCCCTGCTCAGATCCAGGAAGAAACGGGGCAAGGGCAAAGCAAAGGACAAGGAGAAGGGCAAAGAGAAAGGCAAGGGCAAGAAATGAGCTCTCCACCCCAGCCTGCTTCTGACCCTCATCCTCCCAGAGACCAGCCTCGGAAGCCACCAGGATGGACAGCACTAGATTCATGACTTTCATGATGATTTTATTGAATGAATTAAAAAGCATTTGAAGCCACATTGAGGGGAACACTCTACAAATACATCTCTTTACCCAGGGCTGTGGGCTGTGTATGTCCAGCTCACAGCTGCTGTTTCTACGAGGAGCGTGCAGCCTGAGGTGTCAGCCCAGAAATGATGGTTCCTTACTTCAGCCTTAGTGGGAAACCAGACCCCAGCTGCAGCCCAGGAGCCGCCATAGCCATGATGGACACATCACCCACCAGGGCAGCAGGGTGTGGGTCACAGTTGCCCACAGCGGGCACAGAGGCAGGCAGGGAACTCCAGGAGGAGCAGGGCTTAGGTTTCAGGCTGCCCCTGATCCTGTTGTGGGATTAATTTGCCTGCAACTTCCCCAACTCCAGCACTGAAAGCTCAGGGGGAGTCCTGAGGTCATCACAGCCCTCAGCCTCACATTCCAGGGAGTTGAACAATTACCTAAAACAACATTATTTTTTAATATGTAAAAAGTTTTTAGGCCAGGCGCAGTGACTCACACCTGTAATCACAGCACTTTGGGAGGCTGAGGCAGGCAGATCACTTGACCTCAGGAATTTAAGACCAGCTTGGGAAACACGGCAGAACCCCATGTTTTATTTTTTGTCTACAAAAAATAAAAACATTAGCTAGGCGTGGTGGCACACACTGGTAGTCCCTCCTACTTGGGAGGCTGAGGTAGGGGGACTGCTTGAGTCTGGGAGGGTTGAGGTTGCAGTGAGCTGAGATTATGGGGCAGAGCAAGACCTTGTCTCAAACAAAAAAATGTGTAGAGACAGGGTCTCACTCTGTTGCCTAGGCCAGTCTCAAACTCCTGGCCTCAACTGACCCTCCTGCCTTGGCCTCCCAAAGTGCTGGGCTTACGGGCATGAGCCACCACACCTGGCCTGAACAATTATTTTTAAATTATTTGCTGGCATTTAAAAAACTGAGGGCTACCACTTTCTCCAACTTTCTCCCTTTTCTGGGAAGAAATCTAATTATCCAGATACCCCAGGCATGCACATCTTCTAGGGCTCAGCAGCAGCAGCTCTCTTTAGATAGTAGAGAGTAGGTTGCCCCTGTCCCCACCACCCCCAACTGCCTTGCAGACACCACAGCCTGATGTCAGTTACCCTTTTGTATTGCCTGGGGCTATGGCCAGATTTTACTGTAGTTGGGAGGAAAGAGAGGTCAATCTTTTTTCTTTTTTTTTTTTTTTGCATGCACTTAGGGCATAATATCTTTTTTCTTTTTTAAGACAGTCTCGCTCTGTCACCCAGGCTGGAGTGCACTGGTTGGGTCTCAGCTCACCGCAACCTCCACCTCCCAGGTTCAAGCAATTCTCTTGCCTCAGCCTCCCAAGTAGCTGGGATTACAGGTGTGCAACACAACGCCTGGATACTTTTTGTGTTTTTAGTAGAAACAGGGTTTTGCCATGTTTGCCAGGCTAGTCTCAAACTCCTGACCTCAAGTGATCCACCCACCTTGGCCTCCCAAAGTGGTGGGATTACAGGCGTGAGCCACCACGCCCGGCCAGGAAAGAGAGGTATTTCTGGCCCATGTCTATGAAAACAAAGGGGAAGATGGGAAGGCAAAAGGAAGATGGATGTTTCAGGAAAAACCAGGGTGGGCGTGGATAATTGTTTGTGAAAATTCCAGGAAACTTAGACATTCTATATGTTTAAAACGCACATTGCAGCTGGATGAGGTGGCTCACGCCTGTAATCTCAGCATTTTCGCAGGCTGAAGTGGGAGGATCACTTCAGGCCAGGAGTTTGAGACCAGCTTGGGCAACATAGTGAGACTCACGTCTCTTTTTTCCCTTTTTTTCTTGTTTCTTACTGGAAAGAATGAAATCCCTCTCTACAAAAAAAATTTTTTTTAAAAATTAGCCAGGCATGGTGGTACATGCCTGTAGTCTCAGCCACTCAGGAGGGTGAGAGGGAGGATGGCTTGAGCCAGGAGGTTGTCAGCAGTGAGCTATGATGGAGCCTCTGCACTGCAGCCTGGGCAACAAAGTGAGGCCTGGTCTCTTAAAAAAACTCAAGACAAACAGAAACCAAAAAGCAAAGCATGTCTGCATGAGAGTGCAGCTGGCCTGCCTGACCCCACAGGTGTTTCCATGTGTCCCTGATCCTGGGCACTTCAGGTCTCCCTCCCCAGCAGCATCCACTCTTCTCTGCCCCAAGGCAGGGGTACCAAACCGATGATGTGGCTTCCAACTGGACTCCCTAGAATCCTGGTGCTTCCTCCAGGTGCCTTACAGGAAGATGGAGGCAAGGAGAGGCCTGAAGCCCAGCCCCTACTGCCAAATCTGGGTGCAATTCCATCTGAGCAAAGGCTTTGCTGCTTTTCCTAAGTCCTGGGCTCCATCCTAAGTGCTCTGGAGATGCATGTGTCACTGTCTGGCCTTCTTGGACCTTCCACTTGGCAAAGTCCTAGCCATTGTGTTTTATTTCCCACCTTCTCTCATACACACACCCCTTAAAAATAAAACTAAAAAAATACTATTGTCTGTGTTCTGAGCTCAGGAAGAGCCAGCCAACCAGTGGTTAGCGGCATTAGCCAGAAACCAATGGGAGGAAGAGTCCAGCGTTTCCTGAGGCCTCCGGTTCCAAACTTCAGTCACTCACTCACCACTGTCCTGCTGTCTGCCACATCCTGGTACTTCATGTTGTATCTAACTTTGTTATTTAAATCGACTCAGGCCTAACAATGTCCTTTACCCTAAGGGGAAAAAAAAAAAAAGGAACACTCATGGCTTTGATGAGCTGATATATTTAGTACATGAAAATAAATACAGAACGATATTAAGATGAAAGTGTTCACTCACAAATCTCCCAGTTGCCCTTGTGTTCCCCAGGCTTCACACACAGCCTGGGAAAACTCCTCTAAGGCTTTCAGACTCAGTTGGAAACTAATCCTGAGCACGAAGCGTGGCTTGAAGGGAGGGGAGGGGACCTCCAGGTTGGCAATCGCACCGTTTATTTGCACTTGGCAGCAAGACAATGGATGATGTGGGAGGTGCTGGGTCCCTGGGTTGGCACTAATTTGGAGTGTGGTTGAGACAGGGCTGGAGTGAGACATCTTCAAGGCAGCCCCCAAATCTGCAATCAGGGGAGAAAAAGGCAAGAAGCGAGTAGAGATTGTCAGGATAAAGGGAGGCACTCTGCCCGCCCCTGCTGTCTGTCTGTCCCTACTGGGGCTTCTTCAATACCTAGGGTTCCCTGGGTGATGAATGTCCTCCCAGAGGACCCTGACAAGGGGTCACACCTCTCGCCGTGGCCCCATAGGCAACCCTGATGAAAGAGTATCATTTCCAAGGGGGCTTTGGTTTCTGGGTGGCCCCACCTTGCCGTGGGGTAGCTGGCACTGAAATGCTGACTGAGCGAGCCCTGGAAGTCACTAGGGGGCTCCGGAAGGTCACCCCTGATGTGGAAGGCCTGGGATCCTGAGGCCTATTTGTGTGGGGGGCACTGGTGGCTGGATGACCAGTGCTGGGGAGATTCAGGTGGGTGAGGGAACGGGAAAGTCCCCGCCTCAGGGGGTGTGACGAGCGTAACCCATCCATGGATAACTTCTGGGAGTCTGCCGCCACCCGGGGCTCTGTCTTGGAGGGACCAGCTGGGTGAACGGCTCGCAGTGGGGCCTCCCTGGGGCGAGGTGAGTGGCTGCCCCTAGGGGTAGCTGGTGGTGTCCAGAAGAGAGCACGTAGTTTTGCGGCATCCCCCTTCGCCATCCGTGGGGCCTCGAAGCTGGCGCCCTCAGATCTGGAGCCAAATAGCGACTCATCACAGTAAGATGGGGTGTGGCTGATCAGTCTGGCAAAGCGGAAGATAAATGTCGTGAGATGGAGGATGAGATGAACAACCCTCAAAACCTTAACAGCTCTCCCACCCATCCCCAGACTCTGGCAGCAGCAGAGAAGGGTTGCCTGTAGATCCCAGGAGTCCCTGTCTCCTAGGCTGAAACCTACAGTGAGGCCACAGCTCTCTCATGCACCACTGCCCCCGTCTCGGCTGATTCTCCCCCACGAAACATCCACTGCCCCTGCATCCTGACCCCATTCCCAGGCATGTGTCCCAGGCCCGGCCAATTTGCATATTCCATCCCTCAGGCCACATGGATTGGTTCAGGAATGGCCAGATGACCCAAGCCTGTCCAATCAGAATCTGCCTTAGGACCGTTGCGGAAACTACTTGGAAAGAGACGTCTTTCTGCAACCTGATCTTACTTCTTGCTAGGCTGATAGGATGTCAGCCCAAAGTGGCACTAAAGTGGAGACGGACAGTTTCAGCCACAGTTTGAGCCCATTACAGGAGCCCCAAATGCCTTTTCCTGGGGAAGCCAGTTTGAGTAAGTTTTCTGTCACTTGTAATCAAGACTCAATTAGTATAACCTTAGTCTGTATAGCCTCCACCTTTTCTTTTTTTGGCAAGACACAGTCTCGCTCTGTTCAAGTGGGGTGCAGTGGTGCAATCACAGATCATGGCAGCCTCAAATTCCCAGTCCCAGGCAATCCTTTCACCTCAGCCTCCCTAGTAGCTGAGACTACAGGCACAGTGCCAAGCCCAGCTAATTTTTTTGTTTTTGATTTTCAGTAGCGATCAGGCGTCACTATGTTGCCCAGGCTGGTCTGGAACTCCTTGGCCCAAACAACCCCCACCTTAACCTCCCAAAGTGTTAGGATTATAGACATGAGTCACTATGCCCATTTCCTTTCCTTTCCCTTTCCTTTCCTTTCCCTTCCTTCTTTCTTTCTTTTTCTTTTTTTTTTTTTGAGACGGAGTCTCACTCTGTTGCCCAGGATGGAGTGCAATGGCACACTCTTGGTTCACAGCAACCTCTGCCTCCCGGGTTCAAGTGATTCTTCTGCCTCAGCTCCTCGAGTAGCTAGGATTACAGGCATGCAGTACCATGACTGGCTAATTTTTTTGTACTTTTAGTAGAAATGGGGTTTCACCATGTTGGTCACACTGGTGTGCTGGGATTATAGATGTGAGCCGCCATGCCCACCTTT